TCTGTATCTGGGATCCGAACCCTCGGGCGGGAGCGCCGCCGCGCTTCCCAAGCGGCGCCCTATCCAGTGCGCCCCCGGGCCGGGCCAAGACACCTATTTTTTTTTTTTTTTCTTTTTTCTTTTTCCGTGTCCGGCAACGGATCACACCCCTCAGTGTTGCCCCCGTACCGGGCCGGGGACCGGCAACGGGATCGCAACCCTCGGTGTTGCTCCCGCGCCTCGCTCAGCCAGTGAGCAGGAACCGGTCTGTATCTGGGATCCGAACCCTCGGGCGGGAGCGCCGCCGCGCTTCCCAAGCGGCGCACTATCCAGTGCGCCACCGGGCCGGTCCAAGACACCTATTTTTAAAAAGCCAAAAGTTAACGCAATCAGAGAGAAACTAAGGAAATGAAGGACAGAGACAAATTCTTCAGACATCAAGATTGAAAAACTAAATCACGTACAAAGCAGAAAAATCAGGCTAGCCTCTGGATGGCCACCGCACCATTTAATGCTGAAACACTTGTACAGTTCTCAAAGGTAGAACTCAGAATAAATGATCTCATGAGGTTATCATGCAGATGTTAAAACAACAGGCAGCAATTCCCATACATGAAAGAAGCCAGAGAAGCCAGTACCCATGAGAAGTTATTGAAAAAAAAAAAAAAAAAAAAAAAACTTTGGCAACAAAATTTAGCCAATAAAGAGAAGATTAAAAAAGCACAAAGTTCAGGAATGGTTGTAGGGGCTGGTTGGTTAGCTCACTTGGTTAGAGCGCAGCCTTATAACACCAAAGGCATGGGTTCGGATCCCTGTACTAGCCAGCCATCAAAAAAAAGGAAAAAAAGAAAAAAGAAAATGGTAGTGAATATTGACTCCATTTAAAATAATGAACCAGGGCTAGCTGGATAGCTCAGTTGGCTAGAGCCCAGTGTTATAACACCAAAGTCAAGGGTTCCTATCCCCTTACCAGTCAGCTGCCAAACAGAAAAAAAGAAAAAAAAAAAAAAAAAAGAAATTCAACTTATGCTTTTCATAATTTAACTTCTTAACTTTAGAATTTTATGGTACAGAAGCATTTGTTTGAATTTGAGCAAAAATTTTTTGTTTGAATTTTCTTCTGTTAAAGTCAAGTTAAAATTAAATGTAATGCTTTTAATGAAAAACACCCTGTATAATTTGATTCTCACCCTTTCCCCTTTCCTTCATGTCAGTTCATCCTTCTGTCCATTCCTCTGCCTTCCCCTCTCTCCCATTTTATACTCATCCTTCTACTCATTGGCCTATTTGTATATGTGCTTGGAGAGACATCTGAAGTGATGCCCACTGATGGTTATTTAGGCAAGAAGATGGATTATTATTTTTTTACCTTTAAATTTTTGGGTATTACTTAACTTATTTGTAGTGACAATTGGATTCTGAGCAGGTCACTTTTTTTCCCCCAGAAGTTTTATATAACACGTTCTCATTCAAGAAATTAATTCCAGAAAAAAACTTAAAGGAACTTCTTCCCTAATAACCATCATCATTAACTGTCCATTTCCAGACAAAACTGTTATGGGGCACAGGTCCGGCTGCCTTTCAGAAACAAACCAATCAAAAGTCAAATGTTGGTGAAGATGGAAGTCAGCTTTTATCCAGGTGACCTGAGGAGAGATGTTAGGGTCACCTGTCTCTCTTGTAAACCTGAAGGAGAAAGGCCAGACTAAGGCCATCTCCAAGACTCAGATTTACTGAGGGGTTTTTAAAGAGGGGGCTGAGGGAGTGGAATGTGGGAAATGAAAAGCAGGAGGAGGGGGATGTGAGCTGTGGGGGCTCCGTGCAAGGAACCAGGTGCAAGGTCTCACTGAGACTCCGTCTGGTTTCTGCCCCTGTCCTTGCTGCTATCTCAGGTCCTGCTGGAGGGATGGAATCAGCACAGCTTTATTAATGTCTTCCTTGGTTTCTCAGTACATGCAAGTGTGCAGCTTCAGGCTGGCTGGAAAACAACTTTATACTTCTGTAAATAATATCAAATTGCCCCATAACCAAGGTTCAAAATATCAACCAACCATGGGAAAAGAGGGAACTCAGAGACATGTATGCAAAGAGAAAAACTGTGTCCTTTTGAAATTTGCCTACATCCCAGGTAGTTTCAGATCCCAACATGGCTTCAGTCCTGCTCACTCCAGCAACTTCCCTAGTTAATAGTTCCTTTCATTTCTATGCATCAGGACAGATGACTTATTTTACTGCTTCGAGCTGAGTCGGGGCGTAGAAGGGGCTAACTTGGAATGGAACTATTTGACATGATGGAGGACATAGCTTTTGGTACCCGGCTGGAGTGGCAGAGGCATTTGTTTATCTATTGTCTTAGCAGTTGATTTTGACAACAGGTGTCTTACTCCGAGTTACTAAGCTATACATCAACTGGAACAGCAACATTTAAAGAACTTACATGAACCCCGTGTTTAGGAACAGGATGGCTCATCCAATCAAGTCATGAGATCCCCCCTCCCCCAAGCTGTGAATATTTTTAGAGAACTGCTTGTGTAGCCAAATCAGCAACAAGACATTATTTCCCCCTTTTTGATCAAAACATTCCTCATGAAAGCATCGATGACCAATTTCCTGATTGAAAAGGTCTTACTTATTTTTGTACTGGTCCCTTGGTGCTAGGGCAGTTTATTCCCAGGTCCTCATGTCCCACATCGGGGGCTGAGGGGAGAAGATGAAACAGTGGTTAGGCCAAATTAGGGCAACATGAAGTGGGGTCAGGAGTAAACAGAGAGCAAATTGAAATAATCATGGGAGAAGAGGGAACTCAGAGAAATGCATGCCAAGAAAAAAGACTGTGTCCTTTTGAAATGTGCCAGGTGGCTTTAGGTCCCAACATGGCTTCAGTCCTGCTCAGTCCAACAGAACCACTTGGAAAGGGATTCAGATATTTTTCTGTGTATTTACGCTTATCTCTCCATATGTACAAATAATATAGTCATGTTTTTCTTGGCTCACTCCACTCCCCACAACACCTAGTATCTTGGAGATCAATGCACATGGATACAAACAGGTCATCCTCATATTTTTTAAACTGCTGTGAATATTCCTCAGAATGGTGTGTTAGTCAGTGTACAGTCAGGAGACAGGAACCATGTGTCAAAGAACAAAATTACAACAAATTTAAAGATCTCAGTTGGCTTCATTGTCAGGCAAAACATTATTCAATAAAATAGAATAAGTGTTCCAATGAGCCAAGCAGAGGAGGTAAATTTTATAGACAGAAAAAAGCTGAAGAAGGCAGAAACAAAGAACAAGAAGTAGTTTGGTCATTTCAAAGCTACTTTCCTTGTGAGGCGGTGGGAGGAAGACAGAACGATAGAAAAATAACTGTCTGCTTAACATGAGGTTACTTCAAGCTGTCTATTTTGTGTAAGGATTAAAGCAGAGGGAACTTCATTATCACACCTATTGAGGATTAAAACTGGCCTGTTTAGGGTTTTGGAAATTGGCTGTTATCTCTTCTCCTGACTTCTGAGAAGTCAGACTACAGCCTAAATGACTTGGCATTTAGCAGGGGTGATTCCATTTTGATTTTGAATCTGGTCTGTTAGGGCCTCGTGCAGGAACATAGTCCAAAACAATGACCTCTGATAATTTTATTTAACACATACAGTGATTTGAACAAAGAAAACTTAATATTGAGAATTATTAACAGAGGATTGAGGTGGTGCAGAATTGACTAATTAAAGTTGAAGACAGTGTAAAGAACCCAGTTGTGGCAGATATAAGGGACAACTCCTACCCCTAGGGTCTATGCTGAGGTTGAGAGCCCAAGGAAAAGCCCCTCCTCTGTTCAGGACTGAGATCCCACATCATCTGAAAATGAAGGGCCTTGGGCACAGTGGATGACAGAGAAGTTGATGAAGAGCCTTCTGGTGCAACTTGCCAGAAATCTGCACCCCAGGGTGCCAAGGGAGGCCATCCACAGGGAGGTGTGGAGCCTCAGCACTTGTTATACACTGGGGAAGCCTCTGGAACCCAGAGTTGGAGAGTTCCCCTCTGCAGGGACCTAGAGCATTTCTGTGCACTTCAGTCAGGACAGCTCTAGGCAGCTAGACAATCAGCTTGTTGACTGGAAGCCTCATGGGAACCCCAAGCATGTTTGTGGTGCTGAAGAGAGGGTGCAGGGAGCAGCTCCCCAGGCTGGGGCACAGGCCTGCTCTGCCTGGAGCTACTGTCTGTGCAGCTGTTACCTAAGCAACAGCTGGAGGAAACACACTAAGGCCAGATGCTGGAGAAAGCTGTGCACTGCAGGCACCTAGCACCAGAGAAACTGCTGGACTGAACCATGGAGAAAAAGCATGCTGTCTCCAGCAGCCTGGGGTGAGAACCACAGGAACCAGGAAAGAAGAGCCTTTCCTCTTGCAAATTCTCTCCAGAGCCTCTACTGCCAAAATTTAACATTACACCTGCTGCAAAGGAAAACTATTCACAAGGCCCGACTGTATTATCACAGAGCAGGCAAAAAGGGTAAAACCAGAGCTACCAGGCCGTGCATTGATAACCAGCACAAACGGATACCATTGTTTCCCCTTCTCCTTTTGGTAGCCATTTGAGTGATTTTCAGGCTTTTCCTATTGTGACCAATGCCACAATGAACGTTTTTGTGTCTTTATGTACAAAACAATGTTTCTTTGGCTAGCTGCTGAACCTGGAGTGACAGGGAATGTGCACTTCCAAGTCTGCTAGACTCTGCCAAATTGCCTTCCAAACAGGCTTTACCTGTGTGTACCCCTATTAGTTTGGGGTGCTCCTTACCTTCACTCTTGGACATTATCCATTTTGCTAATTTTCCTCTAATAATTGCTTACTGATTTAATTTTTTGTATCTTTCTGCCTCTCCACATGTCTTCTCATGAAAGCCCATGTCCCACCTGTGGAGGGCCATAGGGTTCAGGGCTTCTCTGGGGTTGGTTCCTGTGACAGGCCAGCCACTGAGGGCTAGGTCCTGGTGGGCCCCCCTCAGGCTGTGACCTCGGCTTTCTCTCTCCCAGGCTGAACCTTCGGGAGCTGGGCCCCTGGGCCTCCCACATGCGCTGGCTGGTCTGGATCATGGCCTCTGTTGGCACTATCTATGTCTTCTTCTTCCATGAGCGGTAAGCCGGGGAGGGCTGGGGGTCTCAGGTAGGTGGGTGCCCCTTGATGCTACAGTGGGGCCTCCCTAGTGCCCCAGGCAGGTGAGACCCCAGGATGACCCCAGAAGCATGAGGGCATGGCTCTGTCTGGCATCCCAATGTTGAGGCCCATGGACGGACACCAGGTCCCACAGCCCATACAGTCAACCTAAAGAGTTTTTCAAAAAGACATCATAGGTTCCCAAACCCATTGACCTGGGTCATGCGTCACCTAAACTGTCACCAGATGAGGAGGAGAGTCTCTGAGACAGCCATACTCTCTGCACCCCCATCCTGCTGAGCCACAGGGACGAGAATGATTAAGTGGGGAAAGAAACAGGGCAAAAGAGATTAACAGACTCCTGGAATCTCAGGACCTGTGGGGCCTCTGCAGGTCATGTAGCTCAAGGACAGCAAATAGATTTCAGTTAATGCAGCAACCCCGCTAGATTGAGAGTGGCTGCTTGGGCCCTGTGGGCAAAGATGCTGGGATTGAATAGTAATGTCTGCCATGGGCTGAGCATTGGGAGTGCCCACGTGCATGCTAGGCCCAGTATTTGCAATCCTTGTTTTAGCTCCAGCATGTCATTTTACAGATGTGGAAACTGAGTGTCAGAGAAGGAAAGAGACTTGCCCAAGGTCACACAGATGCTAGCACCTACTGGGTGTAGCTGAGTAAAATTGGAGCCCAGGAGTGCTCGACAGAGGAAGAGTCTCTTCTCACTCTTCTGGTCAGGTGTCCCTCACACTTAGAAATGGGGAGCTGTTTGTGTTTTCATCATGTTGAACTATGTCCCTGAATCCAAGATGGCTTATCTTCCTCCCAGGTACAAACTTGTGGAGCTGCTGTGCTACGTCGTGATGGGCTTTTTCCCCGCTCTGGTCATACTTTCGATGGTGAGTGTTCCACCTGCCCAGGGTGGTGCCTCACCCTGGCTGGAGGGAACAGACAGTGCCTGAGCTGGACCTGACTGTCAAGATTGTTAAGTCAAACCCTCTCCCTCGGCAGATGGGGAAACTGAGGCCCCAACTGCTGGGTTGTCCATCTCTTACTCTCTGCCTTACCTTGAGTGAGCTCACTAACTCCTCTGCATTTCAGCTTTCCCCTCTGTTTAAGGGATTAAGTGAAAAAATCCATGTAAAGTGATTAGAACAGTGCCTGGAACAGAGTAAGAACCCAATTGCTAAATTAAACCTGTAACAATCATATGATTAGTGTTAGAGACAGAGCAGAGTCTCAGTCCCAGGTCTTCTGACTCCCTGCCTTCACTGTTTCTGCATCCTAAACTGCTCCTTGGCACATGGAAACCAAGCAAAGAGGCAACCAGGTTTCTTTCTTTACTGCACACTTACTGAGCCCTTATGAAGTGCAGGAGTCCTACCCACAGGAGTTTACTTCCTCGTCCCAAGCATCCTCTGAGATGGATGTGATGTGCCCATTTCACAAATGAGAACACTCAGTTTGGGAGAGAGGAAATGTCCAGCCAAGGCCATGCAGCCCCTTAGTGGCTGGGGTGGGATTTGACACCGAATTCTCTGACTGCTAGTGATGGGGTCTTTGGTCTGTACTGTTTAGCCTGCTGAGTGGTAGAGCCTTGCAAGGGAGGACTAAGCACCCCCACCAGGGAAGGGAAGCAGGTCGTATGGCCGTGGGTGGACCACCTCTCCTCTCTGAGCCTCAGTTGATCCATCTGTCAAATGGGCACAGTTATCTCAGCTGGCCCACCTCCCTAGGCCAGATGACAGTTTGTTATTTTAAAATTATTATTATTATTATTGGAAAATGTTTTAAAATTTTATGTAGTAAAATCTAACAATTTTTTTTTTTTTTTAATTTATGGCTGTTACTTTCAGTGTCATGGTTAGGAAGTTCCTCCCCTCCCAAGTTTATATAAACGTTTCCCTATATTTTCTCCTGTTTCTTTTACGATCTACTTTTTATGTTGTAATTATTTATTCCTACTGCAATTTCTTCTGTATATGGTGCTCCTTACCCAAATGATGGAGACAGCCATTTCACTTATCTACCATTTTAAAATGCATCTGTTTCAGAGATTTCAGTTCTTATCGACTGGCTTGTCTGTTTTGATACCAACTGCTTTGCTTATTGTAATTTCAACTGCATTTCTGTACTTGGCAGTGAGGTCTTGCCCCATTACTCTTACTGTTCAACAGTTTCCTATGATTTGTATTTATTTTTCCAGATTACCTTTTTTCCCCTCAAGTTTATTTAATTTTTTTTGGCGGCTGGCTGGTACGGGGATCTGAACCCTTGACGTTGGTGTTACGTCACTGCGCTCTAACCAACTGAGCTAATCAGCCAGCCCTATATTTACTTAAATACACATATTTAAGTTATATCTATTAAATTGTACAGTATCATTGAATTATATATTATATATTTAAATGCATATACTTATGTATAGTAAATGTGTGTTTAATTACCCATTCGCTGCAAAAAATAAGTCCTTTTGAAAATCTTATTCTTCCACCTCCTCCCCCAAATGATGTTCCAGCTGCAACCACCATTAATAGTTTGCTGTGTATCTTTTCCATCTTTAAAATTTTTATGCAAGTGTATGTGCATATACAGATATATACTGACTTGTTTGTTTTTCTTTTACAAAAATAAGATCACCCTCTATGGACTGTTCTGCAACCTGCTTTCTTACTTAGCACAATGTCGTGGGCATTTTTCCATGACTGCCACATAGGGTAACACCTGCCTCGTGAGATTGTTGTGACGATGACATTAGCTACTCAAGTTAGGCACTTAAGACAGTGCCTGGCACATAGGAAGTGCTAAGAAATATTGGGTATTATTAACATTATTATTATGTAATTACTATTCAATTATAATACTCTTGAGGACTGAATGAATACATTATTGTGCATATGTACAATGAAATACTCTGGAGCTGTGCAAAAGATTGAGGGGCAGCTGCCAAAAAAATAAAAATAAGAAATTATTAAGGAAAGGCCGGCCGGTTAGCTTAGTTGGTTAGTGTGCAGTGTTATAACACCAAGGTCAAGGGTTCAGATCCCTGTAACCTCCTGAAAAAAACTCTAGCAAAAGACCGAGGAAGATCTACACGTGGACTTGTAGAATGATCTCCAAGAGACTTTAGTGGAAAATCTAGTTGTAGAAAGGTAGAGATGTTATGAGCCGATTTATCTAAAAATGATTAGTTCCTGTGCATATAGACATATTGCGTATTGTAGGTATATAGAAAATTTCTGGAAGGATTGTGAAAATGCTGTTAATGGGGCTTACCTGTAGGAAGTGGACCCAGGGAGCTGGGGTGCAGGCTTAGCAGGGCATTCTCCCTGTTCAATTGCTTGCTATTCTACTAGAGTTCTTTTTACTAAAAATAACTCATGTTAACAGAGCTCATCTCTCGGGGTAGGACTACTACTACATTTTCTTATTATTTTTTTTCTAAATATTTTTGCCGTGGACATGTATAATGTTTTTTTTTTTGTTGTGGTGAAATATACACAACATAACATTTATTGTCTTAAAAATGTTTCAG